TCACGATTCGCCAGGAGTCCACAGTGTTACTCTTCACCGCATTTCACTAAACGGCGAATGATAAGGAAGCTCAGCCATGACTTTAAGACGCGGCAGCTGGAAGAAACGATAAAACGCTGGACTGGAGATAAGCACGATGAGGAGGAGACGTCTAGTCGGTTGAAGCTGAATCACAGTCACAAATAAAGACAGTTTTGGGAGTCAACTATGGCCTTGTTTGACAGCAGCATTCATTAACACAGAACGCTGCATTCTGGGCCCTCCATAAGACTAAGAAGCCGCATCTGTGAGAGAAACATCAGCTCGAAAAAATGCATAATTTGACCTTCAGCAGGGCTGCGCAATATATCTCTTCTTAATCACTATCACAATTATAGCCCTCATCGCCAAGGCCTGAAATATGTACATAATAAGGGTGCAAAGACTTTAATACGGTATCGAAAATACAGTATTTGAAATAATGGAACATGTTGATGATAAAAACTAGGGTTTTAGAAACAGCCTATCAGAGTATGGGGCGGATAGGGGACGGGGCTTAAGCTGGATGTATTATATTTTATTATTATTTACATTTTTCTATGAATTCCACTAATCTGTTTAACATAATTAGAGCTCTGAAGAATTCAAAATGTGCAATATCATAAAAAGGTAAAAATATCAGAGATCAAATTATTACTAGCCCAGTAAATAAACCATCAAATCATTTTTATTGTGTGCTGTGAACACCTTGGCCATCAAACGCTCCTGATGAAAGTTACTGTGGATTGTTACCATTCTTAGCATTACAGCTATTGTTATTATTATATTGGTTGATTTACCACATCCAAAAAATGTCAATAGTTTTGGTGAAAATTACACAAGCCAATCTTTAGCCATGTCACATGAACAGTGCACCAATTTGTTTCTAATTTTATCACAAGGCTTATCGCAATATGCAATTTTTGACCATATCGTGCAGCCCTACCATTTAGTGCTAAAGCGGCGAGCATGCTAACATATGCTAGCAGCTAACATGATGTCATTAATCTCTTCAACTGCATGAGACCACCGGTGGTTCCAAAATGCAATAACTTAACTTTCATATTTCATAAGCTACATTCAAAAGGTGGGGGTCGTATGAGAGCTGTAACTGTCTTCTTTCCAGTCAAACAGATGGGTGATGTAATTTTAAACCCTTATAATAAAAGACTGAACTCACAATTTTTTTTTCTACTGAAAGTCGACCCATTTTTCCACAAGTCTGGGCTATAAACTATAAACAGATGGCGTCTCTTCAGTGATCAGCTCTGTAAAAATTATTTTCATAAAAAAATACAAAGAGCGTCTAAGATTTTTGGCTTTCAGCAGTAAATTGTAAGCATATAGCAACATGTGTGATCATAAAACACATGTTCTGTAAATCTGAGGGGAGCTTTTACGAAAAAATAAATAAATAAAATAAAAATTTACATTTATTTCATGCAGTTACTGAATCATTTGCCTCACGATTTGGTCATGTAAATTCAGATGGACAAACCAAAATATACCCTGGGGAATAAGAGGCCAACGATAGTTAAAAATACGTGGCGCCATCGAGCGCGGCCGTTCACAAGCTCTTTCGTTTCATTCGCTAAACTGCTAATGCTAAAAATACCAAGCTCTCACGAATACGTTCGGTGAACACGCTCTTGTACTAGTGCAATCCAAACCCTACTGCTGCAATCTTAAAGCCTCTCACGCGAATATATAAGTCAAATGGCACAAAAATATATCAGCTACATTTAAAAATCAATCTCTGAAGAGACTCTAGGTCTAAATTATCTATAACTTCTATCACAAAAATTCTACGTTCCTTTATACAGAAGTTAGTCCAGACCGCATGAAAAGGTTTCTACTCATACTCTGTTACTCCACTGAACAACGGTTGCTGACAACAATGGCGGAGGAAGCTGCCAATGTTGAAAACAACGTCCAAACCTTTCTTTTTTTGTCTTCTTTACTTTGTAAAACTAGTGAATAAAAGCAACAGAACACTCAAGGTGGTGTGTTATGATGAAAAATATCACCATGACGACCGAAGCCTCCTTTTAGTACTTTTGTTGACGAGCACTCGCTAACTTTAGCTAATTTGCTAGCCATGCACTTTGTTTTGTCATGCATAATGTGTTTTGAAGTTTGTGACACACATGTATTTGTAAAAAATGCTTTGTTTGGCTTTAAGCTTTGCTTTAGAACTGCAGTTCCGCATTTACTTTTTTGCTGTTGTTAGCCGAGTAGGCTTTAGCTTGCTAACTAGCACGATAGCAGAGTAATGAAGCCGTATCAGCAGTCCTAACAGCTGGAGTCGTCTGGTACCTTAACTCCAGTGTGAACACAGCGAACTGTAGGCTTTGGTTTTGAAATATGAAGCATTTTCAAGTATTTTATTGCTTATAAAAAGCATTTTATGAGGTTTGAAAGGGAAATGTTTCACAGTGCTAGTGAAACAAGTGGCAAATTCACAGCCAACACTTTATTCATCATAAAACACCACCTCTAGTGTTCTACGGCTACACTGCTTAGCTAAAATTCTCTTAGTTCTTTCATTTAAAACACATTCTGACTAAGGGCGGAAACTTATCAGAGTTTTTTTTTAAGGCAAATCAGAAAACAAGCTGAGAAAAAGTGAAAAACGACACGATTTTAACAAACCTGAAGATTCTGACATTCAGAAAAACACAGTATTTTGGATGGGATTCGGATGCAATGCCCTCCCCGTTCCTTATTTCTGACAGTGTCTAGTTAATGATGCTAATTTTTTGTTCTAATATGTCCTTGCAAAACTGCAGCAAACTTATATGCAGGTAGAAAATACACAACCTCTTAATTTTGCCACAAAGTCAGTGTCCACGACAGTCTTGTAGCAGTGTAGCAGTGTATAGAGGAAATAAGGGTATCATACTGTACACTGGTGAGTAAAATATGCTGAGGAAAGAGGGAGCGCACTGCATTTGCTCTGGGTGATGTCACACGATTGACAACAACAAAGAATGGTGGCAAATCAGCTAAAAAAAAAAAACAAAACAAACAAAAAATAAAATAGGAAGCAAATGGTGTCAAAGCTCGTAGTGTTGCTGTGCAATTTCTCATCTGTACAGCTTCTGTAGAGCAGCCCTTGCTAACGTGACGCCGGTGGGTCCAAATCTGTCCAAATTCAAATCCAAAATCCAGCAAAAGGAGGGAGAAAAGGGGGAGAGATTGAGTTTTATTAAAAAAAATTAACATAAAATAAAATAAAATAAAACAAAAACTGGGCTCTCTCCATCACCCTCCCTCACCTCTTCAAGTGCAAATGCAATAAAGCCAGCAATTTGATACTAGTTTAGTTTCATTAAATAATTTACAGTAGAGAACCATTACCAAAAAATGCATGGATCTTTCTTCTGTCGCTCACACTGAAAGATAGTTCCCCTGCGTGTTGCTCTTGGCAGGTTTAATTCTTTATTTCTTCAACTGCAGCCAAACTCAGCAGAAAATCAGGCCATGTAGGTTTCGGAGGAAAGGAAAAAAAATGAAAAAGTGTCTCTTCTTGGACGATAAACAATAGATCTTCAGGGAAACGGTAGCGCTCTGTGTTTATTTGGGGATGTGGATTACAGTGTGGCCGTGTGGACTGTATTTTGCATGCAAGCGTTTTGTGTTAGTGCATTAAAATGTTTCAGCACGTACGCAATCCACTCTCCGAAAGACGTTTTTTAATGGGAAATGTTGTCAAATGCTTGCTTATGTATGTATCAGTGGGTTCAAATGGAAGTCAGGGTGGTACTGTGAGAGTCTGTTACATGAACAAACACAGGCATTCTGCGAGTTACTGCAAGTTACGCAGCATCAAAACAGTCTGAACCGGACAGTTTCAGTGTTGGTACTGGTTTGCATGTTAAATACAGAACTTACAATGTAAAATGGAGGATGAGTAATATATGAGTAACTCCTTTTCATACAGTGTATCGCAATAACCTGCAAAAGTAATGCTAAAACAATTTAACTATTACTGCTTTACATTACTGTTAAGCTGTTTTAGCATTTTAAAGTACATTTAAGTATATTTACATTAGATAAGTAATCGAAGGTGCCAGTTTCCTTCCTTTCAATGACTGTAATGCAGAAAAGAAAATTCAGCACACTGTAAAAACCAAAAAATTCATGATAAAACAACCAAATCATGATACATTCATGTGATGTTTTGGCTGCTTTAGCTTTTTTAAAATTATGTTTTTAAATCTTAAATTAAAAAATATAATATCTTTGCAGTAAATGAGTAAATGTATAATTTTCCTTCTGTTCAGTGACTGTGTCACAGTAATCCTACAAAGTACAGCACATTCAGTGTGTTGTAATATCTTGCATAACGTCTCCAAATGAAGGTCACTCTTTTCACTGTAAGAATTACAAACTGTCTTTTGTTCTACAGCAACTTGGAAAAATTTGCAAGATTAGCTGCATTGAGGCTGCACAATACACAATATATTGTTTGTTAATTGTTATCGCGATATTTGCTGTAGCAATACTGATATTACAGAAGGCTCCAGTTTGCAAATGAGATTCTAACCAATCACAGTGCTGTTATACTGTGTGCTGTGAACCCAATCATGGTGTCAGATGAGTTTTTGTGGGTGTTTTGATGAATGATGTTAATATAATCTAGCAAAAGCCAAATCTTTCGCTAAAGTAATGCAGGCCAGTGTTTAATCATCACTGACTTACTAATATGTACATCTATATATATATATATATATATATATATATATATATATATATATATATATATATGCATATATATATATATATATATATATATATATATATATATGCATTTATATACAAGCTATATATATATATATATATATATATATATATATATATATATATGTATATATATATATATATTTGCCATTTTTCAGATTTTGATAGAATTTAAAAATGCCTATTGCCCTTTACGTTGTGTATTAATTTCATAATAAATGGAAAAAAGTCTGGTTCCATTGACTTACATTAAAAGTAAAGTATATTTTTTCCTTCTCCTGTAAAGTTATTATTTTGGATATATGAGGTTTTGTTCTGACAGCAGTGATATGTATATATTTGAGTTCTTTTTTGAATAAAATGGTTTAGAAAAGTGTGCACAACTGTGAACCTCTTTGTTTTCTCAATGGAACAGAGCAATGCCTGTGTTTGTTTACCTATCAAACCCATCCTGCATTACCCAACACACACTGCTGTATAGGTTAGTGCAGTAGATCCCAGCCCTAGTCCTGGTGCACCCCTGCCCTTTCACGTTTTGGTGTTTTTCAGCATTTTCCTTGCTCTAACACACCTGATTCAACCAATTAGCTACTTAACAAGCCCTTGCTAAGTTGAAGTGGGTGTTTTAAGCCCTATTGGAGCTGGATTAGTTCCAAGGCCTGATAAACTGCAGGTGAAATGAAAAATTTCAAATAATGTAATTCTCTGTAATCTCTCGCTGAATGTTAATTCAAGATTGGACTTCATATTTTCCTCCACTGCAGCTTCACAATCATCTTGACGAAGTGCACTGCAATAAACCTTATCTTTCTGATTGGCCTCCAGCTGGCAAAATGTGCCACAAAGTTTGAAAATGCTCAACTTTTTTTGCTGTCTGCACCTTCTCTGCTGTACCGATGCCTGTATCCATAGAAATCAACAAGATATGAAAAATGCTTTGCTCCACCATAAAGTAAATTAGTGTCAAACTACACATACTGGACTAAAATCACAAGTTTTGCTGTTAATCATATAAACTATAGTACCCTTTAAAATGAAACTAATCCAGACTTCAAAATAGGGCTTTAAAGCAAAGAAAATACTAAAATACAGAAAAAATACAGTGTATCCCTTGGGTCAGTACTGGGGCCAATTACGTTAGCGTGGTGGCGTTATGTACTGCGAGTGTGGCTTGTTTATTCAAGAAAGAGCAGCAGGGGGCGCTATAGAGACGAGTGCAGGTGAGTTGCTTGGACTTCACTGCCCGTTTATCCTCAGACTTTCAACAAATTCCTCCTCCTGCTGTCCCTCGAGGGTCCGTGGGCCGCGGACCGCCCCATCAGCACCCAGGATTAATGGAGTGGCCTCCAACGTCTCTTCCACACCTTCAGCTGACACTCCATCCTCCTCTTCCTCGTCCTCGGGTCCCTCCTGGCCCCTGACCCCTGAAAGCTCGGGCTCCGGACCCTCCTGGTGCTCTGGGCTGTCTCCATCCAGCTGCAGCGTTCTTTCCGGATCCTTCCGCTCTCCAAACAGCCGCTGGTCCAAAACCAGGCCCGACGGAGTCAAAGGCTTAAATTCAGGATCAAAGGTCAACGGAACACCTGCCATGGCAGCCCCCAGGCCTAAACTCGCAGCCCCCCGGTACACTTCCATCCCATCAGGCAGCATGGACTTGATCTTGGGTAGCCAGCGCTTCCGCACACGCCGTGCATTAGTGCACATGTCGGCAGCAATTACGTTCATTTCGCTCTCCTTGAAGTTGGGGGCGAAATTTTGACAGTAAACTGGAGGGAAAAGAAGAGAAGCACATTATTGTTATATGTTCTATATAATTTAGCAAAACAAAACATTACAACAGATTGTGATAAGACATAAAAAGAGGTATGTGCCTTGCACCCGTCCCCCGGGCCCTGATAACAGCCGCGAAAACCGGCGGGAAGGCGGGGCCTGAACCCTGAACACCGCTATGGGACGCGAGTGACAGCAGGAAGGGGATGTCAGCTGCCAGAGAGCAGACAACGATGATGGCCCCTCCTCCTGTTTTGCAGCAAGGCCGCTTCACTACACCTCACATTCGACCCAGGCGGCCTCACTGCAGAACAGGAGGCGGGACCATCATCGCTGCCTGCTCTCTGGCAGCTGACGTCCTCCTCCCACCATCACTTGCGCCCCCTTAGTGGGTTCGGGATTCGAACAATCCCCTTACCCCAAATGTAGTCAATCAGCCACTACATATTTAGCATCATGCAAACTGCACGCATACACACTTAAAAAAAGAAGGTTCTTCAAGGGTTCTTTAATAAAGAAACTGATTAGATAATAAAAGAAATGATATATAGAACCATTTACACTCAAAGAAGCCTTGGCATGATGAAAGGGTTCTTTGCATCATGAAAGTGTTCTCCAATTAATGGAGAATGTGCTTAAGATGGTTCTATATATAACCTGTTTGTAAAGGGTTCTACATGGCATGAAAAAGGGTTCTTCTATTGTTATAAGCTTGACATCGTAACAATAGAGGAACCAAATTTGGTGCTAAATAGAACCCTTTTCAAAAAGATTCAGTATAGAACCATCTAAAGCACATTCTGAAGATCCCTTTCAAGATGCAAAGAACCCTTTAATCATGCAAAGGGTTCTTTGAGTGTTCATGGTTCTGTACAGAACCATTCTCTTTACTAAAGACCCTCGAAGAACCACCTTTTTTAAGAGTGTACATCATTTCAACCAGACTTGCTTATGAAGTTGCTGACACACTGTTATCTATAAACATCATTAAAAGTCTGGATAAAAGGTTTAGCGATAAATCTAGCACTGTGGCACCGTTTCAACACATAACAGTCAGTCATGCAGTATTAGAACCCACATAAGCAAGTCTGTTAGAGATCACTGAACGGTTTGAGACCACTGTGTGATGTTAGCACCATGCTAATGTGGTGGGGTATAAGCTTTCACTGCTTGTCAGCAACAGAGTAAATCTAAAGTAGCAAACTTTAGAAACTAAAATGGTCTTAGCTGATCGACTATGTTTGACGTGAGGGGGGTTACTGTATTTTTTGCTGCTCTTTTTAAAAAGTTACATCTCACAAAATGTTACATACGTTTGACAGCGTTTAGCACTCGGCTATCCAGAGGTTTCCGGCTGGGGTCACTGGTTGAGGAGCGGATGCCAGTTCCACAGCTGTTAGCCAGAGTGTTCCTGCAGGAGAACCAAGCAGCCACCAGGGGGCACAGAGGAGCGAAACTCATGAGAAACTAAAACACATTACCAATACATTCAACCCTGCTGATGGACATCTACCCTCCAGCACAACAGACCTCCAAGTCTACACTCTTAAAAAATACCGGTGCTGAAATGGGTTCTTAGGAGTGATGCCATCGAGCAGGGGTGGTCCTGGTGATCTACACACCACCCACTCACCACCCCCAACGCAACACTCCTGATTTACCTAATTAAGGTCAGAAACATGTGGACATTGAGAGGAAGGTGTTTTAAGGTGAGTTAAGACGATAAAATTCTACACTATACTGCATTACACTGTGCTACACTACAGTATACTACGCTACGCTGTGCTATACTGCATTATAATGTGCTATACTACAAATCTCTATACTATGCTACGCTACATTTGGCTCTACTACACTACACTATACTATAATACTCTATACTATACTACAAATCAATTCATTACTATTCCATACTACACTGTACTAATGATGCTACCATTGTGATATACTATTTATTATGGTAGTTTGCAGTTTTGGATGCAGCCACAGGTCTGTTTGATAAAGGATGAAGCTAAATTCCAGTTTTAGGGTAGTATTACATTCTAAACATGCTGCATCTCTCAACCCACAATTCAGTTCAGTTCAGTCTAATTCAATTCGGTTCAGAAAAGTTCAGTTTAGCTCGGTTCAATTCATATTCAGTCAATTACATGTTGTCAGTTTAGCTCGGTTCAATTAAATTTAATTCAGTTAGACTTAATTCAGTTCAGCACTGTTCAATTTAATTTAATTCAATTACATTTAGTTCAGTTTAGCTCGGTTCAGTTCAATTTAATTCAGTTAGATTTACTTCAGTTCGGCTCGGTTCAGTTCAATTTAATTCAATTTGGTTTACTTCAGTTCAGTTTGATTCAATTCAATGTAATTCAATTAGATTTTATTCAGTTCAATTCAGCTCGGTTCAATTCAATTTAATTCAATTAGATTTAAATCTGTTCAGTTCAATTCAATTCAAATAGATTTACTTCAGTTCAGCTCGGTTCAATTCAATTTAATTCAATTAGATTTAATTCACTTCAGTTTGATTCAATTCAATGTAATTTAATTTGATTTAAGTCAGTTCTGTTTGATTTAATTCAATGTAATTCAATTAGATTTCAGTCAGTTCAGTTTGATTCAATTTAAATTAATTCAAATAGACTTGATTCAGTTCAGTTCAGCTTGATTCAGTGCACATTTCTACTACCAAGGTTTGTGAATATTACAGAATGATCCAATAAGAATCTTAGAGAGTGAGAGATTACAGTAAAGTACAGTAAACTCTGCAAAATACATACATAAGTAAAAGGAAACAAAAATACACAAATATAAAGTAAGAGTATGGTGTGTGTAGCCTATTATTTATGGATGACATAAATGTTGTATATTCACTATTGTATATGTATTGTATATATAACATAGTCTACTGTTTATGTAAAGCCATATCTGATTATTATCAATTTACAAACACAACTCTTGTGCATGCAAACAGTTGACAAGCCAGCTTTGACTTACATAAACAGTACACTATGTCTGTGTTTGTATATAAATATATATATATATATATATATATATATATATATATATATATATATATATATGTTTATATGTGTATATAGGTATGTGTGTGTATATAGTTGTGTGGTCACAAACCTGTCGAAGAAGGTTGCGAGCAGTCTCCTCAGTAGCACCTTGTGTTTAATGCCAGCGCACAAGTGGCAGTTCATCAGCTGTCCTCTGGTCATGAACACCCCTGTACCTGCAGCACAGACAACACTGTGTCCTTCAACACTGCTCTGTTGTCCCTCTGCAGCCTGTTTGGAGCTGTAATAAGCTCTGGTGGTGCAAAATAGCCAAAACATGCAAATGCAACGGCTTACGCGTCTACGGAATGACATCGGTTATGGTCCATTACATCAGCCTGTACGCTTTAGGATCTTCAGCTCCTCGGCCAAGTAAATAGCTGCCTTGGCAGCGTCAGGACTTTAGCAATATTTACTTGTGGGCAAAGCGACGCCCATGAAGTAAATGTAAAATAAATTGAATAAGAAAGGTTCAGGACAGGGTTGCCAAGTCTCGCCCACATCTACGGTCACCCTCGCAGGCAGGACTGCTGCATTTTTAGAACACAGCTGAACATGCTTGACTGATGGGCACATTAACCTGCCTTTCACGCTCTTCGTCAAATATAAGTTTGTAGATGTTTGTAACTAGGAGGTAGTCAGTGTGATGGCAGTCAGACGCTGAGAGTAGGTTTGTGACGGGACGTTTTCTACCTACAGCCACATTTTTAACAATACATGGTCAAATTAAGATATTTTTACAAGCTGTTCAGAATTGCAGGCTGTCCTACTGTTTCCGTATTAAATTTGTATGTATACATTTCATTTATTTATATATTTTTATATAAACTTTTAATGGGCTGCAAATCTGTAAAAAGAAAAGTCTGGCGGTCTGTAAAAATGTCCCAGTTGTAACCTTTTTTGTACATGTTTATAATTACATTTTTTGTGTGTTTTTATGGATTTTCTGTAAATTTACATTTTCTGACTTCTGTCTTTTATTACTTACTTACTTGCTTGCTTGCTTACTTATTTACTGACCTTACTGAATTTCTTTCTTTATGACTTTACTAACTTGACATATTTATATACTTACTGACTTACATACTGACTTACTTCATCATTTACTGACTACTTAATTACTGACTTACCAATTTACTTACTGACTTACTTACATAATGACTTACTGACTTACTTAATGGCTTACTTAATTGCTCACTTGCCTAATTACTTACTTAACGACTTACTGACTTGCTTAACTGCTGACTTACTGACTTACATACTTAGACTTACTAACTTACTAATTTATATACTGACTTAATAACTTACTGACTTATGTACTTACTAACTTATGTACTTATTAACTTATGTACTTACTAACTTATGTACTTATTAACTTATGTACTTATTAACTTATGTATTTACTAACTAAGTTACTGACTTACTAAGTTACTGACTTACACACTAGTTTACTAACTTGCAGACTTATATATAAACTTACTAACTTATATACAGACATACTTACTAACTTACTAATGCAATTACTGATTTACTTACTGACTATCTTACTGACTGACTTACAACCCCATTTCCAAAAAAGTTGGGACGCGGTAAATAAATTAAAAAAATGTAATTATGTGCAAATAACTTAAACCCTATATTTCATTGAAAATAGTACAAAGACAACAAATCAACTGTTGAAATGAGAAATATTATTGTTTTCTGAAAAATATATGCCCATTTTGAATTTGATGCCAACAGCACGTTCCAAAAAAGACGGGGGCATGTTTACCACTGTGTTTCATCACCTCTTCTTTTAAAAACACGATGTAAGCATTTGGGAACTGAGGAGACACTGCTGTAGTTTTGAAAGTGAAATGTTTTCCCATTTTTGATTAACATAGGATTTCAGCTGTTCATCAGTTCGGGGTCTTTTTTGTCGTATTTTACATTTCATAATGTGGCAAATGTTTTCAGTCATGACAGGTCTGGACTGCAGTTAGGTCAGTTTAGCACCTGGACTCTTTTAATACAGAGCCATGCTGTTGTAATACGTGCAGAATGTGGTTTGACATTGTCTTGCTGAAACAATCAAGGCCTTCCCTGAAAAAGACGTCATCTGGATGGCAGCATATGTTGCCAAAACATGTATATATCGTTCAGCATTAATGGTGCTTTCACAGATGTGCATGTCACCCATGCCATGTGCACTAATGCACCTCTATGCCATCATGAATACTGGATTTTTGAACAGTGCGCTGATAACAAGCTGAGTGGTCTTTAGTCTGGAGGATACAGTGTCAATGATTTCCAAAAAGGATTTCAAATGTCGATTAGTCGGACCACAGGACACTTTTCCACTTCCCCTCCGTCCAGAACCGAACTGTTTTCACAGACATCACTTTTCAGAAGTGTTCCTGAGCCCATGCAGTGATTTCCACTACAGAATCATGTCTGTTTTTAATGCAGTGCCACCTGAGGGCCCAAAGATCACAGCCTTTGGTCTCGTCCCTTGCACACAGAGATTTCTCCAGATTCTCTGAATCTTTTAATGTTATTATGTACTGTAGACAATGAAAAGCAAAAGTTCTTTGCTATTTTATGTTGAGAAACGTGATTCTTGAATTATTGCATTATTTGATCGTGTAGTCAGAGTGGTGAACCCCTCCTCATCTTTACTTCTGAAAGATTCAGCCCCTCTGAGATGCTCATTTTTATTCCCAATCATGTTACTGACCTGTTGGCAATTGACCACCAGGTGTTTTTCTAAGCATTACACATTTAAAAGCCTTTTGTTGCCCCCGTCCCAACTTTTTTGGAATGTGTTGCTGGCATCAAATTCAAAATGGGCAAATATTTTTCAAAAAACAATAAAATTTGATTTGTTGTCTTAGAAGCATTTTCTATGAAATACAGAGTCCCAACTTTTTTGGAAAAGGGGTTGTATTAACTAACTGATTACATGACTTTTTTATGTACTTACTTACCAACTTAATTACTTACTTCCCTGTCCCTGTGTACTTATGTCCGCATAACATTTGTGTTGTTGTACCAAAATAGTCATAATTATTTTTATATGGACATTTTACAACCTCTCTTTATCCTTTTGTGTTTGTTTTGTGTTCCTAAGGTTGTGACATCACAACCATGATGAACTGGAATGAGCTGCTTTTGTAGTTTAGTTCTGCAGCATATCCGGACTGTATGTACTGGGATTTCTGTGTCATTTCACAACAGCAAAGTTATTCAGTGAAAGAAATTCACCTGCCACCAGCTCCAGCTTCTCTCCGGGGTCTCCTTCTGTGTACAGTTTGGGGTGGCAGCGGTAGCCGATCTGGCTGATTAAACTGGCCGGCAGAGCCACCAGGTCTCGCCGCAGCAGGACGCAGGGGCGGCTCTCCTGCGGCAGCGGAACGGCTGCCATCTCAGGCTTATCCGTTGCTGCAGGACAAAAACAAAATGTGATCAAACACATTAATAAACAACAGGCCAATGAATAAACTCAAAATTAGGTGAAGATTAAAGTGCTGCAGGTTTGAAAAACTAGAATTGTTTTTTTTTTTTTTGTTTCAATATTATTACAATTAATTATTGGTATCCAATAGTGATTATATATATATATGCATATACAGTACATCTGAAAAACATTCTCTTTCAAGAGGGGAAAAAATTATTTGTCCATTAATGTAACAAGATTTTACTTAAAGTAAATTTGTACATGTCTATTTGTCCTTTCATCAAGTACCACACAATGTTTATACAACATAAGGGGCAGCTGGTATTTTCAAATGGCTTAAAAAAAAAGTGAGTGGAAAAAAGGTTTTTCACATTCACAGGTCATTCACATTATAATATATCAATATTCATTGTCAACTTTTGGTCAAAATAAAGCTCTTCGGCTTTTTTTAAACATAGAAAGGCAAAAAAGTACATTTTATCTTCATTTTTTATTGTTTTTAGTCTCACTACTGTAGTGCCTCCACTCATATTGCAGCATATTTTAATAACAATTCAGAATCGTACCAAACTACAGTTGTGTGCAAAAGTGTGGGCACCTCAATCCAATTTCATTTTGTTGATTTTTTAACTGAAAATAAGTTAACAAACCTTAAATATGACACACTTAAATATGATGTTATTCCACTAATTTTCGCACATTTTTTGTTTATTTGCTGTATTTTAACAGACTGGCAAACTACAACTTATAAAAAGTGCCATAACTTTTGCACAGGCCACATTTTGTTTTTTTTCCCCCAATATATTAATTTAGCAAATAAACAGTAATTGTGCATTAAAATGTGCCAAAGTGTGTCTCTGTAGAGGAAGCGTTCACTTATTTACACTCAGAAAATCAACACACACATGGAATTTGCTCACACCTATAACTGAATCAAAGCAAACTGTGGTGAATCATTTGAGATTTTATGATGCACTGAATCATTTCCCAAAAAGTCACTACGAGGTCAGAGGTTTGAGCAGTCCTCGCTGACCTCCTTCAAGTTTGGTGAGAGTTGGCCTGTTTGGGAAAAGCGACAGATCATGTGCTTATTTTTTTTAATAGAGGCTTTAAGTTTCATCGCTCCAGAGCTGAGTCTTTTTTCAGCGCTCTAGCGGATGGATTCCTAACCAAAGAGTGGCTAGATGCGCGTTTAAAGCTTTCAAAGCGTCGCCACTTCCTCTCAGCCCGCCTGCTCTGTGGCTGCATCAAAGTTTAATTGCTAAAATTCAATACAGGTTTTAATGTAGCGCCGGCTAGAGTGAGAAGAGTTTTGGTTTCTGTCTGTCCCTGATCCTCTTTTAATTGACCTCTACAATCTTACTGTCACTCAGTGCGCACACACACATAAAGAGCACTCTCAAATATCCCACAATGTCACCCTCCTGTGTCCTAACTCATTACAGACAGAATGGATTTCAGGAATACGTGAAACTGGAGACTTTGACAAAAACCTCATGGCCCCATTTGACTGCACACAATACTGTATCTGCTACTGCAGAGTCAAACTGAGTCTAACGGCAGCGCCGAAACACTTCATTCATCGAGAGGAAACGACGCAGTGTGCTTTACAATCGGCATCTTACCTTATACAGAGTCGTATGCAAAGGTTGCATCAAATTCCATATTTGGTTGATTTTCTGAGTGTAAATAAGTTACACATCCTTTACAGAGAACACACTTTTGCACATTTTAATGCACAATTACTGTTTATTTGCTAAATTGAACTTACTGGGGAAAGAATACACATTAAATGTGGCCTGTGCATAAGCTATGGTGCGTTTTATATTTTATGCTTTACTTTTTTTTCAATGTGTTTAACCTCTTCAACTCCTTGAGACCACCGGTGGGTCCAAAACGCACTTTGTCATATTCTTCATAACTTTCATATTTCATAAGCTACATTCTAAAGGTGGGGGTCGTATGAGAGCTGTAACTGTCTTCTTTCCAGTCTAATAGATGGGTAATGTAATTTTAAACCCTTATAATAAAAGAAGCTGAACTCATAATTTTTTTTTCTACTGAAAGTCGACCCATTTTTCCACAAATCTGGGCTATAAACTATAAATAGATGGCGTCTCTTCAGTGATCGGCTCTGTAAAAATTATTTTTATAAAAAAATACAAAGAGCATCTAAGATTTTTGGCTTTCAGCAGTAAATTGTAAGCATATAGCAACATGTGTGATCATAAAACACATTCTGTTAATTTGAGGGAAGGTTTTAAAAAAAACAAAACATACATTTACTGAATAATTTGCCTAACGATTTGGTCATTTAAATTCAGATGGAAAAACCAAAACATACCCTAAAGAATTAAAGCAGATAAATATAAATTGTGCACTAAAATCTGCAGAAAGAACTGTGTTTTTTGTAGAAGGTTGGTTCGCTTATTTTCACTTAAAAATCAATCAATTTGCTAAATTTATTTTATTGGGGGGATATATTAAACATAAAAATGTTTCCAGTGCAAAAGTAATATTTAATATTAGATTTTTTTTTCCAAAAAATAGAAATTGTGCACTAAAATTTGTAGAAGATCGCCATACTGAAGTTGTCTGTAGATTATATGCTAATTTATTGTCACTTAGAAAAACATCATCATGGAATATGCTTACGAATGTAGCATTTCAAATTGTGGTGAATCACTTCGTGATGCACTGAATCATTTCCTAAAAAAGTCACTATGTAGTCAGAGATTTCTGCTGTCCTTGCTGACCTCCTTCAATTTTAGTGGAAGTTTGATGAATTTGCACTGAGGAAATAAACAAAACGTGCAGTTTGGCCAGGGGTGTTCAAACTTTCAAACAGAAATTTTAGTATAAATTTGCGCAGCAGTGTGTGTTTATGAAGTTTAGAGTATAGAGACAGCAGATCTGTACAGGTAACACCACATTAACCAGACTGCAGAGTTTCAGTAAGGTGTCATCACTGCTAAACCACATTAACCCCAAAAACTACAACTGCAGCAAAACTGGCAGCTGTGATGATGCTTTAAAACATTCTCAAAGATTTTGTACACTGTGATTATAATATAATATAAGTTGAATAAGCTGATAACAATAAAGAAACTGTTAATATTGATACTAATAATCTCCACTCCTGCTGTGAAATGTACGGATCTAATGTTAGCTGGCTGGTTCTGTGTAGCACATTCAGAGGAAGAGTGCTCCCAAACAGTTTCTGTTTGGAAAAAAAATCAGATTTCTATGGCTTTTAATACTTTTTTATGATATCTTACTAGTAAAAACTGAATTTTCACATGTAGAAATGTAATTCTTGATAGAGAATTCTTGATTCCAAGAATTAAGTTCTTACTAGTAAAAATTTAATTATTGATATAAAAAAATTAATTTTTACCAGTGAACATGTAATTTTTGATATCAAGAATTTAATCTACTAGTAAGAATCTACTAGTTAAAATTTAATTTTTGATATTAAGTTTCACTAGTAAATACTGAATTCTTACTAGTCAAAATTGTTCTTTTTTTTCAAAATAATTCACAAGTTTCCACGTCCATTTTAATGGGGGAAACATTTTTACCAGTTAGAATGAAATTTTCACTAGTGAAAATTACATTTTCACATGTAGAAATTTAATTCTTGATATCCAGAATTAAATTTTTACTATTTTTCCATGTCATAATTAGAACTAGTAAAATTTTATTTTCTACAAGTAAAAATACTATTGTTACATGTGAAATTTAAGTTATTATTAGTAAAAATCAAATTTTCACAAGCAAAAATTTGTACTTTGTATTTTTACTAGTAAAAAATGAATTCTTGACATTAAGAATTATATTTCTACATGTGACAATTAAATTGTTTCCCCCATTAAACCCATGAATTATTTTTTAAAAAAAAAGAAAAATTTTGACTAGTTAGAATTAAATATTTACCAGTGGAAATTACATTGTTACATGTGTAAAGTGAATTCCTAGTATCAAGAAAAAAGGATTAAACAGTACTTTAGCTTTTACTTAAATATCATTTGAATTACATTTTTTAACTACTGAAATATTATAAACAGAGACAGCACCAAGATGATACCAGCATAAAATTCTGGATCGGAAAAAGAGCGAATTGGATCAGCTTCTATAAAAAATTTGGCCTTTTTTTCTCCAACATGTTATCTTTAGTAAATAAACTGCAATTGTGCATGAAAATGTGCATACAGGCCCATGCTTTGGGAGGCCCATGAGTCACCTTTGGATTCTCAACTATCCATGTCTAATAGCCTCTGCATCGTCAATCCAATTCCCAAACCCTGCTTTGCCTCTGTAAGCGGACCGTTCACGTTATTACATTAGAACATTCACACAACCCATATGAGCAGAACAAGCAGAGCATCCCAGGCCCATAGTAGAAGTAGTTCAGCATTCAGAAATTAAGCAACATGCATCAAAATACGATGAGATAAACTATGAAAACCACTCAAAATGAAATAAAAAAAACTGAACTGGAACAGGAATTTTGCAAAGATTGTAGAGGTCAATTGAGCTGGCTTGATAAAGCCAGTACGAAAGTATTCCAGGTGGTTGCTAAGGTGTTGCTATGGAATCTCAGGAATGGAATATTATTATAATAATTCAGTATAAAAACTCAGAAGACTCATGTAAGTGTCTAAATCTGTGCTGTAGTCATGGCGACCCCTGGTTCCTATCACCACTGCTGTAAAGAAATCTGAACCATTTCACACCAAACCACTCTGAATGACTCTGTTTACATCTCAAACACTGAATTATGCAGAAATTTTAGAAAAATTTGTGGTCACTGTCACGGATAGCTCTGCTGACAAATAATACAAGCACCCAATCACACACTCTGTTTGTCTTCTACCATTATATATCTTATATATATCTACGACTTTGAGTCTATTGGTATTTTGCTCTATTACATCAAGTCTTGCCTGATTCAACTGTTGCGTCAGATTAAGGTAGGTGGAGGTGGTGTGGCTGGTGGTGGAGGGGGAATCCAAGAGCTTTGCATACAGACCAGGGGATAATTTGTTACGCCACAGGATTACTCTCATTAAAAACATCTGAGTCGTTTTCCCTTCGTCAGCAGAGTGGCCACTAGGGGGCCTGGAGAAAGAGGCTACCTTTCGCCCAGGCTGTTCGGCAGTGAGGTGAGATTTATTTTGACTGTAATCTCTCAGAAATCTTTCCACTTTCCACCGGTCATGTTCTGAGTCAGGCCTGGACGGTTGAGTGATTCATTAAACGGAAATAAACTTCAAAGTGAAAGCACCACTCTCCTCATTTAGAGAGGAAGACTGCGTCTGATAAGCTTCTGCACAATAATCATAAGCATTATGCAGGACTGTTCTATAAAGGGTTTCGGGGAAAAGTCGGGAGAGAGTGGTGAAGGGGTTTCGCTTTGACTCATACTTTTTCCCCCAGCCTCTTCTAATTTCATGCACTGAAAGAGAGAGAAGCTTTACATGAAATGGAAAAAATCATTTCATTAATTCATTCATTATTTTCTTTCTTTTTTTTGATTGTTTCTCTCTTGCAATGTCCACGTGCGATGTTTTTGGGGGAGTTAAGTACAAAAAGACGGTCTTAATTCATTTTATCACATGACCACAACCTCTTAAACAGGCTGTTTTTGTTACTGTGCCTTTAAAACCGATTATACATATCGCCGTTGTGAGAAGAAAACCTCGTATCTCCAAATGGTGACTTTACAGGAAAAGGAAAAAATCTACTTTACTTTTAATGTAAGTCAATGGAGCCAGAATTTTTTCCGAGTCACTTTGGGCCGTTTCTTTTGGTCCATTCATCATGAAATTTAGAAACAATGTAAAGGCCAACAGGTATTTTCAAAATATGTAAAAAATATGAAAAATGACAAAAAAATGGAGAAATGAGGTTTTCTTCTGACAGCAGCGATATATACACATATATAGACCCTGTTTTGATTGGCCTTCCTACATTATGTCTCATTCAACAGTCCACTCCTTATAACTTCAGCATGAGTGGGCGGGGCTGAAGTGCTGCGGGCTGATATGTAAATGTGTTAGTTCTTGTGACGTCACAAAAACACTATATTCAAAACCGGCAGCTTTATTACCACGTTGCATGTGAACTGTATGGACTGAAGAGTGCATGTTTAGAAACATTGTTTACTTACTAAACCAAATTGTGAAGAACATTCGCTTTTCCTGTGATAAAGGCCCTTTAACAGATTCTGCCGCGCCACTTCAGCCCAATTCAAACCTGATTCATCACTGCCGAGTTGAACGCACGTGCAAAAAAACCTGCTTTAGCACTCATCTGTGTTATCTTTGTTGAGCAGACAACGTGGAGCACCCTTTGCTAACACTTTCCCTAATGTACCCTCTCACAAGGCTGAATCGTATGCATCATAAACAATTTATAAGAAAATGTCATAACAGCTTTCATTCATGTCTGCAGCCCACATCACCAGCAAATATATCCAAGCCAAGGCTGGGAACTGCTGGCTGGATGCTAGTAAACAAGTCACGGTCAAATATCACTGTCATCATGACCTCAGTAAACTGACAATAAAAGACAGCTTAAGTGAAGTGAAGTGAAGTGAAGTGAAGGGGTTTCCCACTCACCACTACCGCAACAGACAACAGTAAACCACACTAGAGCTGTGTGATATGGACAAAATGTAGGTAACGCTTTCTTTTACAGTCCCTTACAGAGCCTACAGTCTGTATATATATATATATATATATATATATATATATATATATATACACATATAAAATCATAACTTTACAGGACAAGAAAACACATGCTTTACTTTTAATGTAAGTCAATGGAACTAGAATTTTTTCCAAGTCATTTCAGGTCGTTTCTTTGGGTTCGTTCATCACAAAATTTAAACACAATGTAAAGAGCAATAAGTATTTTCAAATTATGTTAAAAAACTGAAAAACATAATATATACATGGAACCATGCAAAAGTTTTTGGCACCTAAAAAATGTGGTCTGTAAGCATTTATTTGCTTAGAAAAACATTATTATTACAATAAATACAAATAATATGAATATGTATAATAGGTGTATAAATAAGAATCATGCGTATCATATGTCAAATTCTGTATGTGTATGCGTTTTGCAGTGCATTTATATTCTTGCCGGGGCGATAAATAATGTGCTCAGGTTCCTCCCCTTTCAGAGAAGTCACATATATTTCACATGTGAAGTGTGCAAAAACCACACGTGTTTACAAGCAGTCACACGTTTTTTTTCACGTGATCACACATTTTTAACATGTGAAGTGTGCAGAAACCACAGGTGTTCTTTTCACATGAGAATTTTGTGAGGGAGAGACTTCTGTACACTACTCTCTCTCTCTCTCTCTATATATATATCCATGTATAACATGTAAAAACTGTCCGAGCATCATTTACGTTCACACAGATGTTCTAATTTATCACAACACCCAGAAAAAAACCTCAACAGAAACATCTCTGTGCAACAAAACTGTTATCTGTTCACGTAATTTGCAATAAGGACTGATGACAGATTTATTACATATTTAAAATGATAAGCACACCAAGCCACAGAAGTGGTCAGTTTAGCATTCCTGCTTTGGCGCAGCCTATTCAGCCTATTCAAACGCAGTAATTAGATTATGAGCTGAATGATTCGTTTATGAGCCGAGCTGGGCAGTGAATCAGAATCCAGTATAAGATCTGAGATTTTACATAGAAAATGTTAAGTACAAAAATAGAGTAAATCTGTGTAAACCCATTAGTGGGGATGGGAACCTCTAAACAGCTCATGATTCAAACTGCTACATTCTGATGTTTGACCTGTATTTGTCTTTAACAAGTACTGTTAGCTTAGATGAATGTAGCCCACACTCTGGGAGCTAGGCCTAGCAGTAATGCCAACCAATGAGCACTCAGTAGCAGTAATGATAACCAATCAGCACTCAGTAGCAGTAATGCCAACCAATCAGCACTCAGTAGCAGCAATGCCAACCATTCAGCATTCAGTAGCAGTAATACTAACCTGTTAGCATTTGGTAACAGTAATGCCAACCAATGAGCACTCAGTAGCAGTAATGCCAACCAATCAGCATTCAGTAGCAGCAATGCCAACTAATCAGCATTCAGTAGCAGTAATGCTAACCTGTTAGCATTTGGTAGCGGTAATACTAATCAATCAGCACTCAGTAGCAGTAACGCCAACAAATCAACACTCAGTAGCAGTAATGCCAACAAATCAACACTCAGTAGCAGTAATGCTAACCAGTTCGCATTCAGTAGCAGTAATGCTAACCAGTTCGCATTCAGTAGCAGTAATACTAACCTGTTAGCATTTGGTAGCAGTAATGCCAACCAATGAGCACTCAGTAGCAGTAATGCCAACAAATCAACACTCAGTAGCAGGAATGCCAACAAATCAGCACTCAGTAGCAGTAATGCTAACCAGTTCGCATTCAGTAGCAGTAATGCTAACCTGTTAGCATTCAGTAGCAGTAATGCTAACCAGTCAGCACTCAGTAGCAGTAATGCTAACTAATCAATACATTAGTGGTAATCCTAACCAATCACCACTCAGAAGCAGTAATATGAGCATCTTGTTTGCTGTAGCAAAATGGAAAGGTACTGGTAAGTTTTCTTTGATTTTTAGTGGAATACATCTACTTTCTAAAATTAAAGGAAGCTCCTGTAGAAAACGACTAGAGCCGTTTTGCCGCATTTACCACCATTCACTGAGGACTTGCTCGCGGCGCCCTTTAGCATTTTGCAGTCGTTTTTTATATAACAGAAGAAACAAGAATAAACAGAGAGAACTGCATCTAAAAATCGATTATTTTTCCACCCCTAATATTCATAGGTAACATTATGTCACAAAAGTAAGTCTATTAGAGTTTACAACTCCTTACTGTTTGCACAGTGCTAACTGGCTACGAAGTGGCTAGCCAGCTTCCATTACATATTAGCTACATTAACCTGGTAGCTCCAGTACTAAAACTAAAGAGGTTATAGAAGCCGAACAGGTTTCAGCAGACTGGTTACGGTGGAGTAGAGAGAGACTGTATGGAGGACTGTAGATTTAGTAAATATAGTTTGATTACTTCCGTAAGGGTTAGCAGTGCGGCCGTAGATTTGGCTGAAGGCCTCCTCCGTGATGCCGTCGTAGGGCTCTTCTTCAAACTCTTCGTCCTCATTCTGGTATGACGTGGGGCTGTCTGTGGTGGGCAGGCTGGACGCCCCGGGGCTGGAGCGTTCGCCAGGGGTTACGGGATACGTCTGGACGGCTGGTGGGTAAAACCCCACCCCTCCGGCATAGAAAAGAGAGCCGCTTCGCGTCGCTCCTTCTCTGGAGCTCCTTTTAGCACCTCCCTGCAGGTTTAGCGGTGTTTCGCTGCCCTCTAGCTTGATCCTCCTGGCTGGGGCAACTAGAGAAGGTGACCAGCCTGGAGGCCCAAGCATGGATAACGGATTATTACTGGGGTTACCGTTAGGATTATTACTGGGACTCTGTGGCTCGGAGCCTGGTTCGTCTATGGTAGCCGTGGCCGAATCGCAATGTGGCGAATTAGCCTTAAACATGAGGTCCATTCCTCTTTCCACAATGTGCTGGATCTGCAAGTATCCAGCCGTATACATGACCACCAACTGTTCGCTAGCAGCCATGGTCAGTTTCCCAGTGTAGCAGAAAGACAGAATCTGCTGGAAGCAGGCTGGAGTAACCGATGAAGGCAGCTCAAACTGGGCTTTGGTGCTGGCGCTGAAAAGATCGCGGAAGTAAAGGCTGCTAGCGGCCAGCACCGCCCGGTGGGCCTTAAAGGCCTGCCCCTTGACCAGGATGGACACGTCGCAGTACTGGCCCAGCAGGCGCTGTTCGTTCAGCGAGCCCAGCACCGTGCTGCCGAAGTTGGGGATCTCCACGTGGAGCAGCTGGGACATGGCGGCCGGCTTTCAGACGTCCAGACAGCGGCGGGTCATCTGAAGGGGAACAAGAGGGACACAAAGTAAGAAGGATGGAGGGAGAGAGGGAGAACTGTAAGAAGTGTTTGGAATATATTAAGAAATGTACTTAATTTTTGATAATACATTTTTAAAATGAAGCAAAACAAAACTAGTTGCCGTTTCTTAACTTGTGACCACAATTTCTACTACTATGTTCTCCTTTAAAAGAGCCATATTCTACATTTGTGTTTTCCCAGAGGTCCACTTATAATGTTTGTGAGTTTTCTTGCACCAAAAATAAATAATAAAAATTTTACATGAATATTTTTCAACCTTTTTGCAGTCCTGTAGTTCTATCGCACCAAGTATCTCGTCCAGTGATACCTTTGTCACGTTTGTCTTTGTCCCCTTTAACTGATCAAAATCTGCCCCCAGATTAGGTGGTGAGTGGGCACGTCCATGTTGGTCAGCAGAATGAATCATTATGTTGAAGTGGAGTTTTCTTTGAGCTACCGTGTTTCCTATCACTGTGCAAAAGAAGCTCCACGCTGCCTTTATTGTTGGATGCACTGCAATAGTTTCAGTGCGCACATTCAGAGTGTTTTCGGAAAGAAAAAAGTGCATCTCACGTGTGATTTATTTTCCTATTCCTATGTTTAGTAGCTCACAATGTTTGTCACACAAACCAAATTTTTTTTTTTTTGCTTTTTGAGATCACACTTTTCCTCATGATTTATTATAATAATATATGATTATATTATTAATTACAGAACTATTCCACAGCTCACTGAGACAAGTTGAGAAATCATGTAGATTCTAAACTTTCAATCCACACCACATTTGTCTAAATAGAACAGGAGATATTTTATTATAATTTGACTATGATGAAGGTAGGGCTGAACGATTTGGGGAAAATATCTAATTGCGATTTTAATATTTCGACTGCAATTTAAATTGCAATTTTTTTATAAATTGAAATTCAGGTCTGATTTATTTTGGCCAAGAAGACCAGAATATCCACCTTTTTTGGCATAAAGTTCAACCCCTGAACTTACTGTGCCAAACTGCCAGTGGTTGTGATGTCGCAACACATGAAGGTTTGGTTGCCTCTGATTGGTCTATCTTCTCTACAGCCAGTTCATAAGCTCTTATTAGGTGCAGTTTCCCCTGCTAAAGCTTACGTTTTCACTTATGTACACACAAAAGATGGTTCTTCAAAGGTTCTTTAGTAAAGACAATGGTTCTATTTAGAACCATAAACATTGAACGACCTGTTTGCATGCTTAGATTTGCCTTAGATTTATGGATCATGTGTTTTATATGGTTCTATATAGTACTTTTTTGAAAATGGTTCTATATAGGACCCTTTATGGTGCTATATAGAACCATATACAACACATTCTCCATCAATCTGAAGAACCATTTCACCATGCAAAGAGCCATTTAAGCATGCAAATGGTTCTACATAGAATGACTGTCTTTACTAAAGAACCACCATGTTTAGGAACCTTGAAAAACTCTCTGTTATTAAGACTGTAGGCTATGATTTTTAAATAATTGCAGCTCTTAAAGTCTTAAATTGCGATTTTGATATAAAAATGATTAATCTTTCAGCCCTAGATGAAGGTACTGATGTGTGTATAGTATTTTTGCATTTTTTCCATGTTTTTGATGTTTTTTTTAACATCATTAACAAACAGAATTAATAAGTAATAAGTAAATAAGTGTAACTAACAGTGTAATGACGTCTGAACAGTATAGCAAAATGACAATCACTGGGTTTATATATCCACAGTTATCTACCTTTCAAATGAGTGGCCAGAAAAGTGGAGAAAAGCGCGAGAGAAAAGGGGAGAGAGGAGAGAAGAAAGATAGAGAACACTGTGTGTTGAATTGCAATACGAATCGCTCCGTTCTGGTTGCGTCTGCGCGTCCGACAGATTGAAATTCAGTTCAGAGACAGAAAGGGATGCGGAGACAGAGGAGAGGAAGAGAGGGAGGGTGAGAGACGACAGAATGAGTCATGCAAAAGCCGTCAAAATCTTCTGTAAAACAATCGCAATAACCGGAAAATGTCATAATATGTGACACGTACCAAAATAATCGTTCAGTAGACAAGTCAAATAATTAATTAATAAGTAATATTCAATAAATAATCCATCATATCATTCACGCTGTGACAGCTGGGAAATAACTTCCCTACCAAACTGTTTAAAAGAGAAGAAATGAGACAACACTTTGGTTATAGCTTGACGGTTGAGGGTGATCGCACCATTATTCTATCAGGAACCAGTTATCACCATGACTACAACACAAATATAGCCATTTTATTTACTATCCAGAACCATCAGTGAACCTACACTTGTCTTCTGAGTGTTTATATGGAATGTTGATGATGGTAAAATAGCAGAAAATCTAAAATAATATGTTTTCTTTGGGGACTATTTGTCCTCACAACGCACTGCATGTATCCCTCCACTATGAACGGATTGAAAACGTACGTTTTAGGCAAACTCTCTCAAAACTATCACAAAACAAGGTCACGTTCATCAGGCAGTGAATTCATAACCGTTTCATGTAATAACATTCTGTGAGGGAGGTTTTAGAGGGGACGTCTGGTTCCTATCACCACCACAGAGCATCAGACCACCCTGAATGACTCTGTTTACACCTTGATGTGAGGCCTAAACAATAACTCTCATAAATATGATGCATGCACAAATGTTTTGTCTTTTTAAAGCCATATTTAGGCAAAAATAACCATATTTTCACACCTTTTCCCCATCACCACGAAATGTATCAGCCGTAACATGTAATATAAAATAAAATTTGAACCTAGAAGCATTAAGAGTAACTCAGCTGCACAAATGTCAGGAGTTTTGTGTTTTTGAAGGAATGTTTTTCCCCAGTTTTCCAGGTTTTGCCCTTATCTAAAATACAGCTAATCAGCCATAAACCTTGTGTTGTTCAGAATAACTGTGACAAATGCACAATGTCTTATAAACACACTAGTTTTGTGTAACATTCAGTCTATTCTGATTTTAAATATTCATAAAGTGTATTCTGAATCTAAAGCCTTTTATCTATTTATCTAAATTCTGTTCCATTTTTCAGTTTGATCATTTTTCAACGAGCTGTTTTCCATAATTTTCCGCTTATGTCAAATGTATCCCGTCCGCTACAGCATAAGATATATTCTGAACCTAAAGCCATTTACAATGGCTTAGTAATGATGATTGCAATGATGTGTCTTACAATTTTGTCTTGTTATCGATCCACATTGGTACACAACAACCAGCTATATCCTAAAGCCAGTGGCATTAACAATAACAGCAAAAGTTTGGTGAAAATTACATTTTCCACAATTTCCCGCTTACACCAAATGTAGTCAATTCACCAGAGTATATAACATAATCTATATTCTAAGGCAGAGGCAATACCAGTAACTATGGCCATCACACAACACATAAACATCCTTAAAAACAGCAGTTATCCCCTTGTTAAAGTGATAATGTTGCACAAAATGACACTTTTCCACAATTTATCTCAATTTCAACAATACTGTACAAAAAATCTAAATCCAAAACCTATAAACATTATGAGTAACTCCTGCGGTGAAAAACGCACATATGTTCTATAACCACAGAAGTTCACCCACTGTATACAACATAAACCATATTCTAAAGCTAGAGGCATCAGCAGTAACTGTGACAATGACAAACACATTAATGCATTAAAAACAGGAGTTTTCCATTTTTTAAATGGTGAAAAATGTCAATTTTCTGTAATTTAATCCTATCAGCCATGACAAATAACAAAGTAGACTCTGAACCTGGAGGCATTAAGAGGAACTATGACAATGACAAACACATTAATGTCTTAAAAAACAGGAGTTTTTCCATTTTTAAATGGTGAAAAATTCAAATTTTCTGTAATTTAATCATATCAGCCACAACAAATAACAAAGTACACTCAGAACCTGGAGACGTTAAGAGTAACTGTGACAATGACAAACACATCAACGTCTTCAAAAAGAGGAGTTTTTCCATTTTTTAAAGTAAGAGTTTGGTGAAAAATTCAAATTTTCTGTAATTTAATCATATCAGCCACAACAAATAACAAAGTACACTCAGAACCTGGAGGCGTTAAGAGTAACTACGACAATGACAAACACGAACATCCTATAAACACAGGAGTTTCCCTTTTTTAAAGCGATTTTGCCCATTTACCCCAAACGTAGTCGACCCACCATGGTATACAACATAAATATAAAGCTTTATCCTAAAGCCAGAGTCACTAACAGTAACAGCGATAATTACAAACTCATAAATATCTCACAACCTCACAGTTTTGCCTTTTATAAGCGATGCCACAAAATCACAATGTTCTACAGTTGTGCTCTTACCCTACATGCAATCGATCCACCACAGTGTATAACATAAGCTATATTCTAAACTCAGAGGCACCAACAGTAACTATGACAGACGCACACAAACGTCTTGCAGACACGAGTTACGCTCTTGAGAAATTTTGCTGCAGCAGATTTCCAGGAACAGTAACTGAAAGGCCGCCACCTCCTCGCCCCCACTGGCGCCCCTCCGCCCCCTCCCACTCCTCCCCCTCAATCCCTCCATCGCAGAAAAAGTCTGACCTGCCCACGGTCCGTCTTCAGTCGGGCCTGGGGTGGACCACGCTGAGCCCAGAGCTATCACAGCAAAAGTCTAAAATCTAACACTGTCTAATAGTCTCTTGCCCTCTTTTATCTCTCTCTCTCTGTTTCTCTCTACCTTTCTGTCTCTATCCCTCGCTTCTTTGGCTGAATTCAACAAGTGCTTGCTGCAGCCCAGCTCCAGTGTATCAGTGATGAAAGGAAAAGGCGGGAGAGGCTGCGCGTGTGCAATCAATGCAGCATCTATACGTCGCATAGAGAGAGAGAGAGAGAGAGAGAGAGAGAGACAGAGAAGGAGGGAAGGAGGGAGGGCAGAGAAAACAGGCTACAGTTACAGAGAAGGAGACGGTCAGGGGGAGGGGGGAGGGGAAAGGGTGTGAGACAGAAGGAAAGTCATTTAAGGACAGTACGAGGGAAGAAAAAGCGAACACGCGCCGTACAGCTTTCAGTGAGCTTCATACTTCCAGCCCAAAACCCGAGAGACGCAGCAACACGATGCTGAACAATTACAAAAGCCAGAACTCCAGCCAAACGTGCGGCTGCGCACGCCGCATAAATATCGAATATTCTGACCCTTAGAAGCCCCTTAGCAGTTATCAAAGGCAATAACAAAGGTATGCTGTAATTTTATATTACTATGTTAATGTCTGTATCTACAATTTAACGTTTCTTTTGGTCCATATAAGCGCAAACTTCTTTAAGACTACATAACCTTGACATAATCATGCTACAACCAGGTCAAATATCACTTGCTAAAGAAAAAAATGCATTGAAGTGCACTTTTCAAAAGTACTCAGTAAAAGAACTGCTGTAAATGTACAGTATTTATATTACAGTAAAATACTGCCCTGTTATTTTACAGGATCATACTATAAAAGATCGGGCATTTAGAGACGTGCATTGGTTTACAGTAACATACCAGACAACACAATGCATAGTGGGAGGTCTGCACTGTAAAACATACTGTAAAGCTTACAATAATTTACTGGCAGCAGCCTATTAACCCCAGAAACTGCAGGGACTTCAATGCAATCTGGCTGAACTATTCTCAGATTATAGAAGCGTGTCATAAAACTTTAGGCCCATGGCGTATTTTACTGTATATATGCTCTATAATTATTTACTGTAAATACGCAGTACTTTACCTGCAACTGCTGCCAGTAAATTGTTGTAAATGTCAGAGACATTGTTTTTATGATAGTTTTGACATTTATATGATATGTTTTACAATAGTTTTTACCTTATTCATGGTGGTACCATAGTACCATAGTACCTAAATAAAACTGTTTCACTCCCACCATTACACATAAGAACTCAGAAGACAAGTGTAGGTTCACTGGTGGTTTTATATAGTATAGTGAATAAAAGTGCTATATTTGTGCAGATATTGCACACTGGTTCCTATCACCACCACTATAAAGTAATCTGAGTCAGTGAGTATCTCTAGAACAGGGCATTTCATAACAAACCACTCAGAATGACTTTGTTTACATCTCAATGACTGAATTATGCAGTGAAATCAATGGATTGAAAGCATGTCTTATGACGATCACGTGATGTTTTCAATAGCTGCTTCATAAAACCTGTTTCGAGACACTTGCAGCTGTTGCGGCAAGTTCAAAGTGAGACTTAGGACACTTTACATTATACATAACTCAAGCGCCGTTTAGTTTCATGTAGTAAGAAAGTTCCGCGAAAGTTTCACCGTGTAAAGCCAGGCTATGAGTTATACAGACTTATGTAGAAACATGTAGAGCACAATACGATACGCCTGCTAATGCCAACCACACTCCATCAGTCAAGCCCAGTCTCATCACCTTTACGCCAAGTGGCCAAAGATACCAGTTATTCACATGAAAGGAATGTGACAGTGAATGGGACGGAGCCAGATCACAGACTACATGTCTAAAAACATAACACATGCGCTCATATCTGTACACGACCCGCTTTCCAGTACTCTTTCTTATGGATCGACTCAGTTTTCACTCTTAATCCAAATGTAGTCGATCAGACACGTTCGCTGTTTGAACTGAGCCTTTGTTAATTTTGCACTGGAGCTACAAGGCTAACGTAGCTAACATGTAATGGAAGCTAGCTGCTAGGTTAGCATGATGCAAACTATGTGGCTAAATCATCAGACATTTGCCTCGAATCGTGTGGAGTTGTTTGGTAATCTCTAATACACCTCCTTTTCGTGGTTCCTGACACTGTATAAAATACTGTTATCTAGCTAAAGCTGTAATAGCAGCCATGACAAAGCCTGGCACTTCTAGGTCAGAGGTCAGCAAGAAGAGCCAATGTGAAGAAGAGCCATTTTGTCCTTTCAACAAAAATCAAACCACCTTGAGAGCCACAACATTTTATGTCCATTTTACTGTCTTGGCTATAAATATGTCTCGGTATGTGCTAAAGTACTAAGATAGGCTAAAAATATAATATAAATGAAAACACAGACTCACTTTGCTCTGCTTTAAGCTTTAGCTCAGCTATAGCCGCTTTTCTCGCATCTCAGGCAGGAAACATTTCTTCAAAGTAGAACAATTTCTTGTAAAATGTCTCTCAATGTTCGTTTTTACAAGGCTGGCTTCAGGTTTGTGACTTATTAGTGTTTGACAGTTTCTCGTTGCAGATTAAACGTATCAGGAAACCAGCTGGAGTGATTATAAATGCAAAAAAGTCTGTTTGTCTCCAAGTTATTGATGTTTGTATTACATCTTTCTCTTTGCCTTTTTTTAGCTACTAGCTAGGCCAGATAGTCTGTGTTGCTATGTGACCAGCAGATCTTCAGGGTTAAAGGGTGAATTAGCAGTTCTACATTAACTCCAGTGTTTAAGATAGTTTACTGTAAAACTGTGTTGAACGATCAGCAGAGCTTTATTTTACTGCAAAGGAGGATTATTTTATTTTCACCTACAAATCTAATTCTGCTGGGGAGCCAAAACAGGGCAGTAAAAGAGCCGCATGGAGCTCCAGAGCCGCATGTTGCCACCCCTGTTTTAGGCCTGTAAAGTAGCAGCAATGATTTCTGCGAGCGAATACATGTATGTAATTTTAGTTCATTTTTATTTAATATAATTATCATGCTTGTTGCATTTAAACTCAGATACTGTAGTAATACTCTTATTTCATTGTTGTGTTCTGGTTGAAAACAAAGGAGTTCAAATCCTGAAATGCCCAGCAGAAAATTATCCAATCAGGATTGTTTCTCTGTGGTATTCAGGTAGATACAGCCAAATGAGTTCTCTCATTGGTTAGGACCTCAGGAGCTGGACTGAAGGACTTACATGTTAGATACCAACATAATTAGTAAGTAACAGAGGAATCAACCAATCACACCCAGGTTCACAATGGGACCAAATGTGCGAGAAAAAACATCACTCTAGTCTATCTGTAAGTTCTAGATACATTACTGACTATAAATACGACCTGTAGTCTAAGCAGTGTTCCGGTTGGTTGTTAGGAATGGAAAATAGCGGCGGCAGCTCTAATCCAGCACTCTATACTGAAAGAGCCACTGCAAAACTGATAGAAGCTCACATGTATATAATTAATATTACCTTATAATTAGGAATAGGATAGGAACCAGGAGTCACCATGACTACAACACAAATATAGCCATTTCATTTACTATCCAAAACCACCAGTGAACCTACACGAGTCTTCTGATATTTTGAAATTGAAAATTTGAAAAAATAAGTTTTCTTTGGGGACTAATTGCCTCACACATCCTGCATCCCTGTATTCCTCCACCGTGAATGTGTTTTTCTAAAGATTTTAAGGCCAAAACGGACAGCAGGCAGGATATTCAGAACCATTTCATGTAATAACTTTCTGTGAGGGAGCTTTTAGAGGACGTCTGGTTCCTATCACCACCACTACTATAAACAATTCTGACTCAATAAGTTTCTCTAGAACAGAGCATTTCACACCAAACCACTCTGAATGACTCTGTTCACATCTTAACCACAAATTTTGAAAAATTCCTTATTTAGAATTCCTCTTTTATGTCAAATAAAAATATGTGAAGTCTTTTATTAGCCTTAAATATCCATGTTTAATCTCAAACATATGTACCAGTATTAGCTTAGCAGTAAAATACTACTAGAAATGCCAAAGGGGCGCTAGCAGAAATTAGCATCATTGCAAAGATGTTTTTTCTCATTTTTTTAACTGAGTTTTGTCGTTTGTGACCCAAGCTGAAGGCCTAGCACTAACAGTCACTGTTAACCACTGATTTAAAAGACAATAGCACTTTAAGACATATAGGCTATCTTTAAAAATAGAGAAAAGTAGGCTACACTGCATAGCTAAAACAGTATTAGCAGTCATTTTGAAGCTTGATTTTTGTCCATAATTTTGGCAGCATTAATAGATAACAGTGTTTCATACAGTGCCAGATAAAAACTCTATTAGCAATTACTAAACAGCTCCACACAGTTTGACGCAAGTATGTGATGGTTTAGGGACCCAGTTAGCATGAAGCTTCCATTACTTGTCAGCTGGATCATTCTACAGAAACGTCCACTTTTTAATCTCTCCATAGGAGTCACTGGTGTTACCAATCCTCACCGGTGTTACACATAAGAAACATCAGAGACAGTAAAACCATTTTGAATGAAAAAGCATTTTACAAAATGGCTGCTACAGAGTATCAAACCACATGTTGTCAATCATGGAATATCCACTAAAATATGTAATTCAATCCATTTGTATTCTATTTTTCACAATTACCTAAGAATAAAGTCGGTCACACCAGTGACTTCAGCTAAAAGCTTCATATGAAATCATGAGCTGAATGAGAAAATCTCTGATAACTGAAAGACACAGTGGACTCACCATGTGCTTTTCTTCATCGATCCTCAGAAAATAGGTAAAAGGAAGTCAAGTGACGTCATCAGTGTGATTTTTATTTAAAAATAAGAGA